CCATAGGCTATTGGCTGCTTTCCTCTGATTACTAACCCATATTTTAATGCAGAAATCACACATCTAAGGCCAATGATGCCCCAAAATCTCAAAACTGCATATGTGCTACTTTTCTAGCAATAACAAATACTATGTGAGAAGGGTAAGCACAGTATTAAAAACTGGTCCACTTAATCACAGCAACAGAATTTCCCCCCATACAACATGGAAAAAATTTCATTATAAAATAAATGAGACTAAAATCTTTAGAAAGAAGAACTGGGATAGTAATTCACATTTTATATGTAGCAATAGAAAGTATTTTAAAATATTTCTCACGGATATTAATAACATCAGTAATTATCACTAGAACATTTTCCAACAATAGAAATAATTACCACAGAATAGCCACAAACTTAACACTAGCAATGAGGTAATAATCATCACAAGGTATATTTTTGTCTTTCAGTAGGTGATCATGTTTGTAGTGTTTAACAAGAAAAGAGCCTTGTGCACTGTACACGATACTTCTATAGGTTATAATTTTCAGAAGCATATGAAATACATGAGGAAGTTTTCAGATGCACTGTAAGTAACCAATAAATTTTGAAATCAATTTTAAATTATAGATAAACCAGAATATAATGCTAAGATGACATTAATCAGAAAATCATAAAAATGTACCATACAGAATAAAAATACGTTTGAGAAAACCTAGAATCAATCTCCAGCAATCAAACCAATTACATTTAATTTTTCAGAAAACAGTACATTTTAAAACATGCCTTAAAATATTAATGGCATAAATCTATCTTTAAATGTGTGCTTACAAATTACAAAATAAGTGGCAAAATTGTCAAAAGTAAAGTTTTACTTGCTATTAAATTGTGATCAACATTAAAACAAATGCAAACACACGATATGAGAAAGCGAGGACAGCAGAGCCATAGCAGTGAGGGGAGTGTTTCTGTCATTCCTATCCCAGGGTAAACATCAAGAATCAATCATTTCATACCTATGGGCTCGTGAAGAAAAGAAAAAAAAAAAAAAGAATCAATCATCGCGCTCTTCCTCCGTAGGCCAAGATAAACCCTCGGAATCATTTTTAAAAAAAAAACTTCAGGAGGCCGGGCGTGGTAGTTCACCCCTGTAATCCCAGGACTTTGGGAGGCCAAGGTGGGTGGATCACCTGAAGTCAGGAGTTCAAGACCAACCTAGGCAACATGGTGAAACCTCGTCTCTACAAACAGAAAAAAAAATTAGCTGGGCGTGGTGGCTCACGCCTGTAATCCCGGCTACTCAGAATGCTGAGGCATGAGACTCGCTTGATTCTGGGAAGCGGAGATTGCAGTGAGCCGAGATCGTGCCACTACACTCAAGCCTGGGCGACTGAGCGAAACTCTGTCTTAAAACAAAAAAGAAAAGAAAAGAAATGGATTTCAATAAATTTTTCTTTTCAAAGACAGGCTCTATGCTTAAACCACCACCGTAAAGCTCAATGAATGCAATGCAATGGCAAACAAGTCCATTCACAAAAAATAATGGGATATGCTCTTCTGAGAAAAGAAAGCATCCTCTTTCTTCCAAGGGTACACTTTGAGAACTGACAATGAACATACTCAAGCAATAACAAGAATATTAATAACACAGAAAAATTCATACCCTTTTCAATGCACACAATACATTCTCTCATTCTCTACTCACTATGATAAGGGAGTAATACAAGGCATTAAGGGTCTTGAACTTCCTGTCAAGATTCTCAACATTTTTGTAACCAACGACAAAATAAGGAGCGAATGGTTGATGTATGGAATTAGCAAAGAGAGCAAACCTAACACTTACTTTTGCAAAGGCTTCAAAAAGGTCAAAGGCAGGTGGCAGCTGAGAGGCATCCTGTATTTCTTCTCTCATGAAATGTTGAAATGTCATTACAAGTTGCCTGAGGCCCTCTTTCTTATCTTCAGTCAGTTTGTTAATATCTTTTTTAAAGAGAAAATAAATAGCACAATCTCAAAGTAAACTTTTAAAGGATAATTTTCAAGTGTTCAATGCTGGCTGTTAAACCAGATATTTCCTACCTTACATTGCATTCTGACAAAGAGCAAATACATATTGTTTTATCTTTTGCCAACTAAAAATGATGCATATGTTATCAATTAAATTCTGCCAAATTTTGTCTGCAGCGTAAGATCAAACACCTATCAAAACATAAGTGTGCATATATATGAAAAAGCATTAAAACCAAAATCAGTAAGCTTGTGTGTTACCAGATTTTCTATATCATTCTGTACATACATACAAACAATTATAAGTTCATATTAAGTCAGTAAAGTTAAGCAGACTTTTCCATGAAATAATTTACAACTAGGTCATGACTAAACTAATAAATAGCACCACCTCTAAGGTAAAAAGACAGAAAATGAGAACTAAAAAGTTCAGATAAAGTTCAAATAGGTTAAATTTGTCATGTGGTTAGTACAGCATGAATAGAACAGGGATCAAGCAAAGCAATTTCAACTTCAAGTTATCTGAGCTGAATAAACAAGATAAAGGAGCCCGGCACAGTGGCTCATGCCTGTAACCCCAGCACTTTGGGAGGCTGAGGCAGGCAGATCACTTGAGATCAGGAGTTCAAGACCAGTCTGGCCAACGTGGTGAAACCCCATCTCTACCAAAAATACAAAAATTAGCTGGGCGTGGTGGTACGTGCCTATAATCCCAGCTACTCAGGAGGCTGAGGCAGGAGAATCACTTGAACCCAGGAGGTGGAGGTTGCCGTAAGCCAACATTACACCACTGCACTCCAGCCTGGACAAAAAGAGAGACTCCATGTCAAAAAAAAAAAAAAGAAAACAAAGACAAAAAACAAGATATGGTGTGGCATCACTCCAAACAGAAGGAGATGGTTCTAAAACAAAAGAAGAAAAAAAAAGTTCTAAAGCCAATACTACCCCCTTTAAATATCATTTTCAATTATACCACAAATGGGGTGTTAAGGCTAAAAGTATATAACAGGTCAATCACTAACGTTTGAGAGTATTTCACTTAAGGTCATGTGTATGACACTATTACTGAGAAGGGCTAATGTGAAGAGTAAAACCCACGGTAACAGATGTTAATTATCTAGCAGTAAAATATAACAGGAAAATTTGAATACTTTGCTGTCTTTTAAAACTTGAAAAGATACATCAAGTTGAACTATAGCATAACTCTGTTGCTTATGCCTATGCATATTCATTAGATTACTTATTTGACAGAATAATTAACCCAATGATTTCTTAAATAATAATTTATTATCATGGGAA